CAGAAAATGAAAGAAGTTGTTGACCATTACGCAAAAACTAAGTAATTTCCAAGTAGCAAAAGCGCTACAAGGCAGCAGATGGAGTTGGATTACGGAATCGCGGAAACAACAGTGTGTGACATTCTAATGCAAAAAGACAAACTGGTGAACTTTGCATCAATGTCGGACAATGCTTCCACAATGAAAACGCGAAAAACTATGAAGTGACCTTTGATGAGCTAGACACGGCATTGACAGAGTGGTTAGCTCAAGTTTTAAAAGAGGGTAGTCCTGTAAATGTTCCTGTCAATTGCGGCCAAAGCAAAAACATTTTTTGAGTTGTTAGGCCTGAAAGGAACTTTTGATGCGTCTTCTGGCTCGTTGACTCGTTTTTAACAGTGACATGGAATTCGAGAAATTGGACTTCATGGGGAGAAACTTCGTGGTGACCAACAAGGAGCCGACGATTTCCACCATGAATTGAAGAATTTGTTTTAAAAAGAAGAGCTATCTTTGAACAAATTTACATGCCGACGAATCGGGACTTTTGTGGAAAGTCTCCCACTCGCACTTTAGCATTGAAAGTGAAAGTAAGCGGCGGCTCATAAAACAGCAAGGAAAGGATCACTATCATGTCTTGCAGAACGCAAGTGGTGACATAAACCTAGACTTGTTGTCATTGGAAAGTAAAAAAAACCGAGATCTTTCAAAGGCACAAGGATAGAAATTTGCCGTGATTACTTTACAAAAAAAAAAAAAAGGATGGATGAACCGAAACATTTTTCAAGAATGGTTTCGAAAAAATCTTTGTTCTTCAAGTGCGTAAACATCTTAAATCGAAAACCCTGCCGAAAGCTGTGCTATGATCGACAACGCACCTTCTCATCCTCAAAAGCGTGCTAAAGTCTTCTGATGGACAATTTGCAAAGTTTCTCCCCCCAAACTTACTGCGCTAATCCAACCGATGGACCAAGGAGTCATTGCAACAATTAAGAGAACATACCGAACCAAGCTGCTAATGACCAAAATTGAAGGTGGTTATGATCTGAAAGAGTTTTGGAAACACTACGCAATCTTGGACAGCATCTACGATATTGCATCTGCATGGGACTCAGTGAGCTCACTGTGCTGATGCGGAAGACTCACGAAGCGGCTATGCTACAAGTCGACGGACTGCTGAGCTATTTGGAAGAACAAGACGACGCGGAGTTGGCCGAGAAATTTATGCTACGAAAAATGCAATCTCGGATCAAGAGAAAAAGGCTTCCAAAGCAAGAAGGAAACAGAAATGACTGATTGCTTCAAAAAGGTGTAGTTTTACAGTTATGCTTTTGTAATTACATAATACATTACAGTATTAAAACAGTAATATGTATTAATTTTCTGTGTATCCTGACGCCTCTCGTAAGTACAAAGTCTTTCTGTTTTCATTAACAAAATGCATTTTAGGTTATTTTAAGTGATATGCTAAATATTAAGCGTCAGTTAAACATTCCTGCTGTTTATTTTACGTTTATTGTACATAAAACATTTTTCAAAGTGAATGACTGTTTCTCTTTTGCTATACCCGTTTTTAGCTTTTTTTTTTTTTTTTTTTTTTTTGGATTATCCGCATTTTGTTATCCGCGGCGGGCCGCGCCACCCAATTCCGCGGATAATCGGGAGTGTACTGTAATAAAGATGTGAGTCTGTTCTAACTACGTTTTCGTATTCTTTTCGTAAAAATAAACACTCTAGTATTTTAAAACCGGTGAAGTGGGTTTTTATTTTCTGAGGCCATTTCGCCACATTTTGGCGCTCGGAATAGGGACTTTTAAATAAAAGTCATAAATTGAACTACGGTGTTAAGTTTCATTTCTGATTCAAAACTGTGCATTAAGAATATGGATACGACAGAACGAAGAGTTCTTCGGCGGTTGTTCACAGTTGAAGCAAATAATTTAGAAGAACTTATATCTCCAATAGAGGGAATAAAACAGAACTGAAAGCAAGATTTGAAGCATTAAAAATAAAATATGACAGGATTAATGCTCTAAATTCCACTCATTTAGAAGAACTTCTGAAAGATAAAAATGTGACAGAAGATAAAGTGGAAGAGTAAATGACGAAATGCGGTGAGTACGAATTGAGATTTCTTAAAATTAAAGAAACAATTTTTACTGAAACAGTACTCTCAAATGTTGAAGCTATATGTCAGACTGGGTTCAAAACTCAGATAAAATTACCTAAGATAGAATTAACAAAATTTGATGGAGATTTAAGAAAGTGGATTGGTTACTGGGGACAGTTTACTAAAATTCATAATGATCATTCTTTATCAGATGAAGATAAATTTGAAGATTTGAGACTTAGTATGAAACCTGGGTCATCAGCACAAAAATTAATCGAAGGTTTCCCACCGTCAAAAGAAAATTATGAGAAAGCTATAGAGCTTTTAAAATCCAGATATGGGAAAGAGGAATTTTTAATAGAATTCTATGTTCGTGAATTATTATCTCTAGTTCTACTAAAAGGGAAAAATATTCCAATTTCGCAACTCTATAACAAACTAGAAACACAGTTACGTGCTTTAGAATCTTTAGGCGTAACTAAAGAAAAATATGCAGCGATGCTTTTTCCGTTAGTTGAGTCAGCTATTCCAGAAAATATTTTTAAGATCTGGGAAAGACACCGGGTAACTAAAAAGGCTTCGACTAAAAATCCTGATGATTGTTTATGCGAGTTATTGGAATTTTTAAAAATAGAAGTAGAAGCTGAGGAAAGATTAAAACTTAGAAAAGGTTCTTTTAATGATGAAAGAAAATTTTTTTAATGGCGAAACAAAAGGTAATTCGAGAATTAACAGCAGAAATAAATATATTCCTACGGCTGCTGCCTTAATTTCAACAGAGAATTCTAGAATTAAAGAAAGAGTTAGCATTTTTTGTGATAGAAAAAGTCATAATTCTCAAGACTGTGCTACAACTGCTGATTCTTCAATTGATGAATGTAATAAAATACTGAAGAATAAAGGTGTTTGTTTTAAATGTTTAAGAACGGGTCATATAAATTCAAACTGTCGAGTTTTTGTAAGATGTGCGTTATGTAAAGGTCAGCATTATTCTATAATGTGTTCTAAAATTAGAAATTATGAAAATGATAAAACGTCTCAGAATGAAAATGAATCAGAAGTAGTTAAAACTTTATCTATTTCATCTAATTATTCTGTTTCATATTTATAAACTCTGATTGCACATATTGTTGTTGATAATAAAACATATCCAGTGAGAGTATTATGTGATTCAGGCTCTCAGAAAAGTTACATTAAGAATTCAATTGCAAAAGAATGTCATTTGATACCACAGGGCAAAGTAACTTTATCGCAAGTATTGTTCGGTGGTAAGAGGATCCCGTTCTCGACATATGATATGTACAAAACTAAGTTATCAAGCCTTGATTCTAAAATTGTTTTTGAATTTGATGTTATTGGATCTGATCAAATTTGTACTAACGTACCAAGATTTAAAAATGCGAAGGTTTATCAAATCCTTAAAAGTAAAGGAATTGAGATAAGTGATTATTTAAAAGATAATCATTAGTCGGAAGATATCCAGGTATTACTAGGCGCAGACGCTATTGTAACACCTGAGGTGGTATCTGTTGAAAAGAATTTAGTGGCTGTCAGAACTACTTTAGGTTGGACACTCTTAGGTAGTAGTTACGACCCAAAGTCTATTTTTTTCTGTTTACTTATTTCAATGAAATGCTCTAAACATCGAAATTTTGGAAGTTAGAAACACTAGGCATTTCAGATCCTGTTGAAAGAATTACACAGGAGGAAAAAGATAAAGAAGTCGTGAAATATTTTGAGAATACTACCAAACGAAATGAAGCTACAGGTCGTTATGGTAGTACGTCTTCCATGGATTGATGGTTGCCCTTCCTTACAATCTAATCTTAAGGCTGCTGAAAAAAGTCTCCAGAATACTTCCTTACAATCTAATCTTAAGGCTGCTGAAAAAAGACTCCAGAATACATCGAATAAATTGAAGAAACTAAACAAGTTTCAAGAATATGACGATGTAATTAAAGACTGGTGGAAAATGGGAATAATTGAAATTGTACCGGAAACAAATGCAAATGAAAGGACCCATTATTTACCACACAGAGCTGTTTTTAAAGAATGTAGTACTAGGAAAATTAGGCCAGTATTTGATGCATCAAACAAAGATGAAAATGGATCTTCTCTGAACGATTGTCTGGAAGTTGGACCAAATTAATAGATTTAATTCCAATAGTTTTAACTAATTTTAGAATTTATGCAATCGCTTTATCTTCTGATATAGAAAAGGCATTTCTACAAATTGAAATTGATCCAGCAGATAGAGATTTCCTACGCTTCTTGTGGTGGTAAAAGGGAAATATTGTTGAATTTAGGCATTACAGAGTAGTTTTTGGTGTTTGCTGTTCTTCATTTCTTCTTTCAGCATGTCTAAATAATTTATTATAAAATCCACCTGAATATTTAAGCAAGATCGCAAAATGTTAAAAGGCACATTCTATATGGATAATTGTTTACTGGTGTTTTTAAAGAAGAAGAAATCGAATCTCACATTAATGAAGCCACAGGAACTGATGTCTACAGCTGGGTTCAACCTTAGAGGTTGGAAAAGTAGTTTAGATTTGAATGAAAGTCCAGAAAATGTGCTCGGTCTTCAGTGGTACCGCCCATCAGATAAATTGGGATGCCGAGTAGTATCTTGGTCTGAAGCTCCCATAAGACGAATCCTCCTTTCATGCATTCAGAAAGTTTTTGATCCTATAGGATTTTCTTCACCAGCTCTTCTTATTCCAAAGATTATTTTGCATAAGACTTGGAAATTAAAGTCTGGGACCAGGAACTACCAGAAGACATTCAGAAAGAATTCAGTAAATGGTCTACAGAAATACATTTTTCGAATGACTGCCGAATCCCAAGAAGAATTTTCATTAATTCAACAAGCTCTTTACACAGCTTCGGCGATGCAAGTAAACTAGCTTATATGTGTATGTATGGTGCCTGTATATTTTTAAGAACGGAAGAACAGGAAGAAGTTTACTTGAGTCTTGTCCTAGCAAAATCCCGACTTACCTCATTGAAAGAAATCACTTTACCAAGGTTGGAATTAATGGTCGCACTTCTGGGTGTAAGATTATATCAATTGGCTATTAAAAGCTTGGATTGTATAAACACGAAGACTTATTTTTGGTCAGACTCTTCAGCGGTTTTAGCATGGCTAAAGAAGCGAAATAATTGGTCTGTTTTTGTAGAAAACCGAGTTAAAGAGATTCAAAATTACAGCAAAGAAGGATGTTGGAAACATATACCAGGGATCTTAAACCCTGCTGATTTATTTTCAAGAGGATGGTATCCATTGCCACTCCTAAAATACCAATGGTGGACAGGACCTGAATTTCTGAAACCTCCAGAAACTTGGCCTTCAAATGATCCTGATTTTGATATGAAAGAAATCGATAAAGAACGACGTCGAACTGTCATTTCCGAGAAGAATTCAACGGTTGAAACTATTCTAGCTAAACTTGCCTCCAGATTTTCGAAATATTCTATGATTGTACGAACTGTTGCTTGGATGTTAAGATTCCAACCCACTTATATGAAAAATGAAAATCGTTTGACTAATATATTCGCTGAAGAATTCGAGAATGCCGAAAAATCTTTATTTTTACTTATACAAAAGGATGCTTTTGAAGAAGAACGAAAAAAAATCTGATCTGAAAAAATCTTTAGATTTTCGTTGATGAAAATAGAATTTTAAGAATGAAATCTCGAGTTTTAGATTCTTCAGATTTGCTGGAATACCCTATATTGCTACCTTCCAAAAATGTAATTGTAGAAAGAATGATAGAGCAATTACACTTAGAACACAAACATGCTGGAACACAAACACTTCTAATGATTTTAAGAGAAAGAGTTTGGATTATCAGAGGTAGAAAAGCTGTACGTTCTGTGGTAAAAATATGTGTCACATGCCAGAGATTAGGCTGCCCAAGGCTGTTAAAGCCTTAGAAGTACCTGTCCCCCTTTACCTGAAGACAGGACAAAAATGCTCAAAACTTTTCAAATGACAGGAATCGACCTCGCCGGCGCAGTTTTCTTGAAAGGGAATTTAAGGCTTGGATAGTAATTTTCACGTGTGCAGTTTTTAGAGCTGTTCATCTTTAATTAATTACTTCTTTGAGCACAAACGTCTTTATAGATGCATTTAGACGTTTTATTTCACGAAGAGGTCGAGTTGAAGTCATATACTCGGACATGGTTCGAATTTCGTAGGTTTAAATAAAGCTATGAATCAATTGGATTGGGCTGATATCGAAAGGAAGTATGCATTAATGAAAATAAATTGAAAATTCAATCCTCCCACAGCGTCATGGTGGGGAGGATTTTGGGAGAGGTTAATAAAAATTTTAAAGGATCTCCTCCGAAAAAATTTGAGACACTCTTGTTTAGGATATGAAGAATTTTTAACCCTCCTTTGCGAATGTGAAAGCATAATGAACAACAGAACTTTGACTTACCTGTCGGAGGAAGGCGATGATTTGTCACCGTTAAAACATTCTATGTTCCTACACAACTTAATTGGCAGTAATGTGTATGATTTAGATGAAATTAATTCTATGAGCATTATAGAAAGATGGAAATATTTACAACGAGTTAGAGAAGGACTTAGAAATCGTTTTAAGAAAGAATATCTAGGCTTTCTCTGGAATATTACAAAGGGTAAAAGAGGAATAATTAAAGTGAATGACATTGTTCTCATCGGAAATAATAACAAGAAACGAATAGACTGGATGTTGGGTCGAGTATTTGAATTGTTCCCAGAGAAAGACAATATCACGCGTCTTGTGAAGCTAAAAACATCCTCTGGGGTTGTACTTAGACCAGTTCAACGCCTCTTTCATTTTCGAACTAAAGAGTAGTTCAGATAAACTCCCTTTCATGGCGAATAATGTAGTAGACAATCAAATTTATAAAATAAAACAAAATGATCAAAAGGTTCAATATACACCTATCAAAAAACAGGAAATAAGTCATCCAAAATGTTTTAGAAAAATTCGTCTTGGCAGAGAAGTACATCCTCCACAAAAACTGGACTTATGAATTTATTGAGAATTTGAAGCTATGTGAATTTTATTGATTTTTTTTAATTCTTTTAAATTTTAGTTTAGAACTTTAAGTTATATTGATGTTGCAAAATCCCCATTTTGCAAGGTGTGGAGAATGTTGGAAATGAATGCAGTTATATCCTTTTATATTTACCTTTTTGGAATGGCAACAAAAATTATATTGTTTACTTAGCATATTCTATCTGTCAGTTGAGTTTAAAAATGGTAATAAAGATCTGAGTCTCTTCTAACTATGTTTTCGTATTCTTTTCGTAAAAATAAACACCGTAGTATTTTAAAACCGATAAAATGGATTTTTATTTGAGATAATTTCGCAACATTTGCATCGTTTTGGAATAAAAACTTTGTGTAATGTATGGCTAACAAGTTTCTATTCCAAAACGATACCTTGACGTGTGTTAAGAGAGTGGCACCACGGACACTTAAGGACTTAAAGATGAAAGCAACTAATAGTTTTTACGTGTTTTAGAATGGTATAGATAAGGATATCGAAAATACTTCCAAAAACAGTTTTGAGAGCTCAAAACAAAAATTAAATTCTCTGAAGGTAAAGGTCCGTAATTGGGAGTACTCTATTATCTATACCATTCTAAAACACGTGGAACGTGTTCACATCGATTATGCAGGACCTATTTCTGAATATATGTTTTTGCTAATCGTCAAAATTATCTTAATGAAGCCTACCTAATGAAATCAAGATCGACTTTCAAAACAACTGAACGCTTGCGGGACTTTTCTGCACGATTTGAATTATTAATATTGTTAGGGGAGGATAACGCGCCAGAATTATCGCTCACTAACTTTACATGAGTTTATGATATTTCAACAGAGTAATGGAATCAGACACAAAACCACAACGTCATTTAAGCCTCTAGTAATGGGCTGCCTCTAGTAATGGGAAGTGTTTACAGTAAAACTGGAAGGATTCTAAGTTTTACTAACGTTTATTTTATTTTAAATCTTTACTATCACTTCTTATTTTCTACTTCCGGCCAGAATTAAAAGCTTTAACTTATTTATGCAAATTTGTCTTGCTAACGCCAAGTACTGGCCAAGTAACGCCAAGTAAGTTGTGGCTTTTTGCCAAGCGAGAGAGAGGAAGGAGTTATTAGAAGCAGGTCGCTTGCCATAGTAGTTTTTACTCGGTTGCTGGTTGCCTTCAAGGCCAGAGGTTTAGTCCTCTTGATAAATTCAAACGTATCGTAGTTTTAGCAGCTCTCTGTACTACATACGGATTTTGTTAAATAACGGCCAATCTTAAAGTTAGGCACTTGTATATTAATCCAAAGTTAGTTTTAGTAGAGTTTTAGTTAGTAGTTTTATATTCTTACGTTCAGAACCACAAATGGTTGGTCTCTGTATTCCGAAGTTCCGGAAATCTCTGTAAAGAGAGAAAAATAAGGGTTTCGTATACCCTTCCTGTGTGTATTGTCTACTTCACAATTTATTGAACATAGTTTGAGTAAGCTCCCTGTTCCGAGTCAGGACAGTTCATGTTTCCAAGGCAAGTAAAGAGGAATACAAGTCCTGATAGTAACGCTCGACGAAGAAGAATAACCATAGCCGAGTTTCAAGAAGAACCTGTAGTGCCTTCAAAAGGGGCTCAGAATCCAGAAATGCCAGCTGCCGCCCTGGAAGGATTTGGTTACATCGTCCAAACCATGCGCGCATCGATGAAACCAGAAGCAACATTCAATGGAAACTCACCGGTAACCAGTTTTTTGGAAACATGGGATGACCACTTCATGCTGTATCCAGTCCATGAATTCCAGAAAGTCACCTTAGCTACCAGCGCTTTGAGGGGCCAAGCGCTTAATTGGTTCAAATGTATAGGTAGAAGACTCTTGGGTCAAGCGGGAAGTCCCACCTATACTTACGAAAATTTCAAGACTGCCTTAGTAAAAGGTCTTCCCTGTCGTAAGAAATCGTTCAAAATTAGAAGCGGAACTCTTCAGCATATACCAGCAACGAATTGAAAATCTCTCAAGCTTAATTTTAAGAAAAATTCACGTCTTTAAACTCTTGTATGGAAGCCGTCCGGATCCTGAGATAATCCAAGTGATTTTGCCGAGGTTACTTCCCCAAGTACAAGTCTTTATTGAATTAAGGAATCCGACTACACTGGAAAAGTTATTTGAGCTAGCAATCCAGTTTGAAAGTAGAAGAACGACGGTCATTGAAAGAAGACGCCTCTATGAGCAGCGAAGCCAATTTGGTGCGCCAAGACCACAGCAAAGGCAAGAACACGGCTACGGAAGCAAATCGAATCAGTGGGCAAGTAAACCCGAGTATCCAAAAACAACCGGCGAACGTCGACTGTTCAATACTAAGCCAGAAAAAAAGTCTGAAGGCCAGCGGAAAAAGAAGGAAGGGTGGAAAGAAAGAAATTTAAACTAAAACGGATTTCTGCTGACAGGAGGGTGCGGAATCCGAAGGCCAAGAAACCCCTCTTCCTTCAAGTTAAATACAGTTATTGTGAAAAATTTGACTCTTCCAAAGATTGAAGTTTTGGTGAACAACATCCCAGCCACCGCACTCCTGGATACAGGCGCGCAGTGTTCCTGTGTGGCAGAACATTTTTTAGGAAATATTTCCGTAGATACCGCATATATAATTCGGATAATACGACAGTGTTAACTGCGCAGGGAGAAAGATGCAAATGCATCTGTAAAATACCATTATATATACGCATCAAGGACGAGCAAGTAAAGATCATGTTTTTTATCGTAAAAAATTTACAAGAGGCAGAAGCAACGCTGGATTTCAACCAAGCGTCCCTTAAGCTGACCATGCAACCAGTTCGGGAAGAAAAAAGAGAACCACCCACATTAAACCTCAACCAACTGCCTAGGGGAGAGCAACAAAAAATTCGACAAGTGGTAAGTGAATTTGCTTCGTTATTTAGTGATATTCCCGGATTTACTCAAGTTACTAACCATAGTATCGACACAGGAGATTCACTGCCAGTTCGCCACAAACCCTATCGGTATTATATGAATAAAGAAAAAATTATAGAGTGGCACATTCGAGATATGTTACGTAAAAAGATCATAACGCCCATCTCAAGTAGTTATGCTAGCCCGGTTGTGTTATGTAAGAAAAATAATGACTATCCAGTAACATATCCGAAAAGGTGGCGTTTTGCAATTGACTATCGTAAATTAAACTCCATGGTTAAACATCCGGTATATCCGTTACCTATTATTAGAGAAATTTTAAGGAACATAACTTCTACCAATATATGACTACGTTAGACTTAACGACTGGTTTTTTCAATAGTGTTAAACCAGAAGATGTGCCTAAGACTTGCTTTTATAACTAAGTCTGGCACATTATGCATTCTTGCCGTATGCCGTTTGGCCTTTCTGGAACACCGGGCAACATTTCAGCGATGCATGGACATTGTGCAAAGTCCTGTTCTAGAAAAGACCACACTTATATACTATTTACACGATATCATTATTACTATTGATAATTTGGATTAAAATATAAAAGGATTTGAGAGAGATGTTTTCATTATTAAATGAGGCCGGTTTAAAAGTTAATGTTGAAAAGTATAAATTTGCAGCCTCCTGAATTAAAATAC